TAGCGTGTTGCACACGGAGCAGAAGCACTTTTTTGTGCTTCAGCAGTATTGCAAGCCTCACTACGTTCGGCTCGCAAACCTACTGCTTACTTCTACTCCTAATATAACAATATACTATTCTATGCTGCTTGGCAACCCCAACGGCAGCAAAAGTACTTTTAGTGCCGCTGGAGCGGCAGTAGAAGTACTTTTAGTGCCGCTCGTACTTTTACTGCCGCTCAACCATTCACTTGCCCCCGAGCTTACCCCATTCGTTTGGAGAAAAAATAGCGTGTTGCATACGGAGTAGAAGCACTTTTTTTTGCTTCAGCAGTATTGCAAGCCTCACTACGTTCGGCTCGCAAACCTACCGCTTCAGCACAAAAAAGTAAAGCTTCTACTCCTAATACAACAATATACTATTAAACAACAAATCTTCTGAAAAATGAAATGAAAGACAAATAGGACCTACGTTGTGGAAACTTACTCAATTTTACTTACTGGACATGCGCCCGACATAGCAAATATTTGGGAAATTTAAGGAAAGTTCTGATATGTAAAAGAAACGAAAAATTTGTGAAACGTCTACTTTAGTATTAAAGTAAATCGTTCCGTTCTCAACCTGGAATTCTCGAGGGGAAAGAGGTCGGCAGAGAAACCCTTGATCTGACATTCCTCAAAAATCGAAACATACTGTGTCATTTTAATAATAATTTTAAGTCAATAATTCAATAATTTAAGTCAATAAAAGTTTAAATTAGGTACCGCCCCTGTTCTTGTGCTAAAATTTCAATTACACACACTACATTCAATCAACACTTATTCAATACTGAAGAGTTTTTATTGTTAGTTAGCTAGTTTCCCAGCGGATACTGAGGTCCCATACGGGAAGCTACTCAGCTATAGTTATTTTTGAGCCAATATCTCTAAATTGATTATTTCAATTTGTTAGGATATTCTCTCGTCAGGGTAGGAAAATGTTGGTAAATTCAACAAAGCCCTAATACACGCTCTAAATCCACAAAATCAAAATCTCAGCACAAAAAGACAGCACATAATTTCTTAGGTTCTAATTTACTTCCTTATCTGTGTTGTTTACAGTATGAAACGATTTTTGTTAAATACATGAACAATGCACATGTTATAAAAATGTTATAAACAAACCAAAAAGACATAAAAATGGAAAAATGATACTTGTATAAATAATTGAACTCTCACAAACAAAATAATAATTAATCAACTAACCTATGAACGCTTCTTACACACACACTAATAACAAATTGGATTGAACAATCAATTTTAATGCAAAATAAAAATGAAAATTGAATAATGAATAATTACAGACACGCGTCTAAAGGAACCAGTTCCAGCTTTGTTGCGGCAAAGTTTACGCTGCGGTCGGGCCTGTACAATCCTGTTGCAAGTTGCATATTGTCAGGGCCTATCTTTCTCTCTTGTCTACTATTCTCACCCTTCTATGAGAGACAAGCTATTTTGACCCTTCTGGTGCACCGCAAGAAGGATTCCCGGCGCCATGAAAGGGATCAATAAGAACGGTACTTTACGTTCCTATGTAAAATAAGTCTGAGTACGCCATTTTGACCTGCTTATTGAAGAAGCATTTTTTCTGTTTAAAAGGGTCATTATTGAGTTTGTGGCGTTTGGGCAAATGCATGTGCTTTACCTAAGTGTGCATTTCTTTTGATGTGAAATACAGTCCGCTTTTGTTTAAAAACTAGTTGGTGTTTTCTTTTTACTAATGAACTAAACAATTAAGAACAAAACTGCAAAGTTTTGACATACAAGCTTGTTCTCAAGTCTCTCTCTAATGCCTAATCGCCTTTTCTCTTGTATCCTCTTCGGTTTCGGTATCTTCATTTTCTGTGGCGCGCCCCGTTCAAACCTAAACTTGATGGCGCAGACATGGTTGCAACATTTACTTTTATTCAGTAACCGATTTTTAAAAGTTAAAATTTGAAGAAATAATATTTTAAAGAGGTGGTTTTCCTCAACGTGAACATTTAAAAATTATAATGTCACGTCGAATTTCAATCTTAGTCATCCGTCGTCGGAGTTGGAGTGGTTTTTTATTCAAATGATCAGACAAATTATGCTGGTCATTTTCAATGTCTAGTCCTTACCAATCTACCTTACTTTCTTGTAAAAACACATCTGTATAACCGGTATAACTAACCTACTTCTGATATTGTCTGCTGACAATCGACCCCGAAATTGAAACAAATTTTGCCAATGAACAATTAAATATTATCATCATTGATAAATGATAAACGCAGTCGAAAAAACGAATGAGTTTTTTTATCATGTATCATACCATGCACGAAGCTCCAAATTTGATAAGACACAGTTTTGCAGTACATCCCGGAATGTTCACAGTCAACCGCATTACTTTCATTTTCAGGAAATCGGTACCTGCTGTGAAATGATACTCTTCTGCATTCTATGTAGGGTCAGTTAAGTTAGCCCCCCCCCCCATAGAAAATTTCTGGATGAAAATTATCCCATAATTTTGCTCTCATTTTGCTCCATTTTGCTCCACTAATTTCGATTTTTGCTCCATTACAGTGGAGAGACTATGTGGCCTATTAGGGTGGGGGGGGGGCTGAATTAACGCTAGCCCCCCACAGTGAAAATTCAGAAATTTGATCATACTCATTTTGTTCTCCGAGTTTTGCTCCATTTTGCTCCATTATTGGCGAGTTTTGCCCCATTACCAGGAGAGACCTACAGAGCTCCCAAGAATCTCTCCCAGCCCCCCCAGTGAAAATTCTGAAATTTGATCATGCTCATTTTGTTCTCCGAGTTTTGCTCCATTATCGGCGAGTTTTGCCCCATTACCAGGAGAGACCTACAGAGCTCCCAAGAATCTCTCCCAGCCCCCCCAGTGAAAATTCTGAAATTTGATCATGCTCATTTTGTTCTCCGAGTTTTGCTCCATTATCGGCGAGTTTTGCTCCATTACCAGGAATGACCTACAGAGCTCCAAAGAATCACTTCTTGCCCACCAGTGAAAATTTTGAAACTCATACTCATACCGAGTTTTGCTCCATTTTGCACTAACAGGGCTTCTTGCGGGCTCTGTTTGTCTATTTGCACCAAAGTTACACCAGTTTGCACCAGGTGCACCAAAAAGTCAGTTTGTCTCTGTCAGACCCATACAAAAAAAAAATATAGAAAAACAAACACGTTTGGTGTAGAAAGTGCGTCGGTTGGTGCCTTGTTGGTGCGAATAAACAAACAAAGCAAGTGAAACCAGGGACCACCGGTCTCTTCACGGCCATTATAGCCAATGCGCTTTGCACTCAAACGCTTGAAAATCAGTTACAGGTGCATCAAGAAAAAGAGGCGAGGAAAATGAGAGCAGCTTCAGAGCGCCTGAGTGCTCAAAGCGTGGCACCCGAAAGCAGCTCAGGTAATGGAGCAGAACTCGCCGATCATGGAGTAAAACGGAGCGAAACTCGGAGAACAGAATGAATATGATCAAACAAAATTTTCACTGGTGTGGGGGGGCTAGGAGAGATTCTTAGGAGCTCGTAGGTCATTCCAAGTAATGGAGCAAAACTCGCCGATCATGGAGCAAAATGGAGCAAAACTCGGAGAACAAAATGCGCATATAGAAACTCCAAAATTTTCACACGTGTTGCGAGGAGAGATTCCTGGGAGCTGTGTAGTTCATTCCAGAGACGCGTTACAGGTGCATCAGGGGAAACAGGCGAGGAAAGTGAGAGCAGCTTGAGAGCGCCAAATTCTGTTCGCTCGAATGTGTAAAATTGTAGCCGGAGTACTTCGGACTAACTCGAAAGCGCTGAGCGCTCAAAGCGTGGCATCCAAAAACGGCCCGTGATGGAGCAAAACGAGCTGATCATGGTGCAAAATGGAGCAAGACCCGGAGAACACAATGAATAATTTCAAGTTTCAAAATTTTCACTGGGGGGCAATTGGGAGGAGATTCTTTGGAGCTCTATAGGTCATTCTTGGTAATGGAGCAAAACTCGCCGATAATGGAGGAAAACGGAGCAATACTCGGACTCGGAGAACAAAATGAACATCTTCCAATTTAAAAAAATTCACCAGGGGGGGCTAGGAGAGATATTTGGGAGCTCTGTAAGTCTCTCCTGATAATGGAGCAAAACTCGCCGATAATGGAGCAAAACTCGGAGAACAAAATGAGCATGATCAAATTTCTGAATTTTCACTGGGGGGTGGGGGGGCTAGCGTTAATTCAGCCCCCCCCCCCACCTAATAGGCCACATAAGGCCTGTTCGCACAGAAATCACAAACCAGTCAGAGCGAATTTCATTGGTTGAAACTAGTTTTCTGACTGTTTCTGACTGTTTCCAACCAATGAAATTTGCTCTGACTGGTTTGTGATTGCTGTGCGAACAGGCCTATAGTCTCTCCACTGTAATGGAGCAAAAATCGTAATTAGTGGAGCAAAATGAGAGCAAAATTATGGGATAATTTTCATCCAGAAATTTTCTATGGGGGGGGGGGGCTAACTTAACTGACCCTTCTATGTAGCCTTTCAGGCCTTTCAATTTTTGCAATGTTCTCCTACCTTGTGTCTGTTTCTTTAACCTTAATAGATCCTCTTTATCAGTCGAGTGCATAAGCTTAAGCACTCATATTTGAACTTTCTTATCTTCAAATACCTACCTATATAAACCAAGAAAAGAAATATGTAAGTTTTTCCGCCTCTTCTACCTAATTGGGAATATCAATTAAAAACAGGTCACACAAATCTATCACCATGTACTCCCACCATCATATTATTATCAGAGCGCAAAAAATATAGCTACCTTTTGTACAGACTGATCATGGCTAAGAGTTTTATAATAAATGTTCTCATTTCCCTTTTGTACTAGTGGTTGCTTGATTAAATTTTTCAGTATCAAATTGATAATATTAGGTACCTAGTACATTATGGCAAAATCCAACTATTCAATTAGTCTCTATCAGAAATCAATAATGTTCTTATGGAATTTCTCTGTTTTTGATTTCAGATGTTGGCTGCACGAAAAAGCCTTTGGATCGTGGTTCATCAGCATTCCTATTGCTGCTACACTAACTTTGTCAATGAGTAAGTGAATAGTTTTGTTGTGGCAAATTTTCATGATAGACACAATTCTTTTCATAAAGAACATTTACAGAAACGTATTCTCTTTCAAAAGGGAATGAAAAATATTGTTTTGTGCTTCAATATTAATCTTGTTTATTTGACGCCATTTTCATAAACTTCATACTAAAAATATCCATAACATGCTGATCCATTTAAAATATTTCTATATGGATTCATTTACTTACAGTAAAAAACCCATTCATCATATTTTATTCATAAATCTTTTCGAAGTTTTGAATAAAATTGTTTTTGTAAAGGCATGAAAGTTTCTATATTAATTTTTGTATTTAGACAGTAGACTTTTTCATTTTCTAGTCTTTCTCATCAATATTCTGCGAGTAATCCTCACCATTATGCATCCGAATTCGCCAAATCCAGCTCCAGTCGGTATCAGGAGAGCCGTAAGGGCTGCATTGATTCTCACACCACTTTTTGGACTACAGTTTATTCTAATTCCTGTGAGGCCCGATACCGAAAACCCTATGTATTATGCTTATGTTTATACTAGTGTTATAATCATCCCTTATCAGGTAAGAATTTTTAATTTGAACTGCGTAAAAAAAAATCTTAATAAATCAATTTAATGCCATTATTCTTTTCCGTGCTCTCGTTAGACGAAGAAAAAAAAACAAGGTTTCATTTCAACTTAATGATTTTTCAGCAAATTAGATTTCTTTTACTTTGAATCTAGATCGATGACGGGCTCACTAATAGATAAAATCCTACCTATACCTACATTTCAGTTTTCTATATTTATTTTATTTTTCCAAAGGGCGTAAGAGTCATTGATTAAGCAAACAATAATTAATTATTAAGACAAGTTGAAATACTTACAAAAAAAAAATTGCTACAAACAATTAATTCATAATCAAGAAAGATGTTGTTTATGCCTTACGTTTTCCTTCGTTAATCTTATTATGAGTAAATAGATACTTTAATTTTTAATTTCACAACAAACACACTTTATTTAACGTTTTCTTTATTCCCCTTTTACAAAAGGAAATCGTAAAGCACAGTCAAGGAAAAGCTAAATATTTGCTTGCAAAGACGTTAACTTGTTTCGGGATCGCTAAAGTATCTTTCGAGTACAAAATACAATTAATTCTTTTATTCTATAGGGTTTCTGTTGTGCAGTCCTCTTCTGTTTCGCTAACCACGACGTGCATCAAGCAATTAAAAGAAGCTTTCAGAGAAATATTAGACGTCAGAGCACCAGGTGGAGCAACTATCAAACTGGTGAAAGTGGTGCTGGAGTTTTCATGCTCAACGGTACGGCTACCAATGGTAATAGTGCGCCATTACTCTCTATACGACGAAAATCGACGCAGGGATCAGTCAAAGTTTAGGAATTGTAAGTGGATTTGTATTGGGTTGTTTCATGACTTCCTCAAGTTTCATCTATAGCTGAAGAATTCATGAATAAAATCTATGATAATCAAAATATTATTTAAAACACAACTTTTATTTGGTTGGACATGTGCAAAGAATGGCATCAAATACAATAATACTCATAAGTAAAACATTGTGCGAGGGAAGAAGTAAGAAGCTGGAGATGTAGTGTGGTCCAAGAAATCAGAGGACTTGAAAAGCCAGAGAGGTTTAAATTCAAGAATCGGAGAACATAGAATGTTATAGACCAATGATTATAGATATATATTTGTAGCCAGAAGTCTTTCTGCGATGCAACATGCAACTATGTTCAAGAATATTTAGTCTCCAATGCCATTTTTCTGATTTCGATGTAGTTCCTTTATAAAAACTTATTTTTTCACCAACTTTATCCTCGAACGCATGCATCAACCACTGGGTAACGATAGTATAATCGGGCTAAAATGTACTCCGCGGTGGTAATTATTCGCTTGTAGGGATGTGCATATCGAGTTCTAATTTCCTCCATTGGCATACTAATTATTGACGATATATCGCTATGCTGCGAAGCATGAAGGGCAAATTGGTGCTATTTGAGGGCGGAATTCATAGTAAATAATTTTCAGGGTGAAAATGGAATATGTACTGAATGTAAATATATTTGTCTTGAACACAAGAAGAAGTGTTAAGCACTCTGGGTATATATCTCTGGAAATAGAAACATTTTAATGATGCTAAGCTTTCATAAAAAGCTTTGAATATTATCAAGAATTTTTTCGAGTAAATGATAAATCCTTCGCTTTGAACTAATCTGAAAATTTACTTTCCACTTTGGCATTCAGTGCAAGGAAAAGTAAATTCCGCCGTTTAAAAGCGAGAATAAATAATTTTATTACCTACTCAACTACTCTATATTCTGCGCTTATTTTGCATAGAACCGTGGGGTTTTATTTAAAACTAGCGTGGGTTGTAATCGTTTTTAAACTGAGGTGAGGAATAATGGTGAAATTCTCTTTGTTTTGATCGAATTGAAAGGACTTTGAAAATCGAACAATATAAATTTTAATAGGATTACAAATTAAATACCTAGGCCAGGAAAGAGAGGTTGAACCTCGCAAACTTGACACAAGTTTTGTTTTTTTTTTCTTGGTAGAACAAGGGCTGCTTTTTATGGGTCTAACTTTTTCCAACAAAATTTCTCCTTGAAACATTCTTTTTCATCCCCCTTTAGGTCGTTTTTTGTGGTTTTTCCAAAACGTAGCGCTTCCGATACGTTTTACAAAAAAAAAACCTATATAGTAAATTAAAGAGGACTGAATACTCTACAATTTATCTAGAAACAGCATATGTCTATCACCTACTCCTTAGCCGGGGTGGCACTTTAAAGTTAAATGACCTTGAAAAAAGATGTTCTGGATTTTTTTACTAAACTGTTCAGCAAATCTACCGCAAACCATGCAGCATATACTTATAAATAATTGGTCGATTTTTTTGGTATATGTTTTATTTAAAAAAATGTATCCGTTCAAGTTATACAGGGTGTTGAAATTTTAACAACCCACTTTCATATCATCTGAAGGGCTAATGCTAGGCTGCTCAAATTTTCAGGGATTATTGATGTAGGAATGATATTTAAAAATTCGTATAATGCACCCCTATTTTCTACATGGAACCACCCCAAAAAAATAAAATAAATGTTGAACTGTCCAAGTAAGACATTCACCTGGAACGTGTAGTTTTTAAACTAATGAGAATAACTCACATTTGAGTGAGTCAGGTTAGTATTGCAATTAAACAACATATTGATGAATAGATGGCTGCGGAACTCGCTGCGCTCGTCCCGCAGAGGTCCACCCATAAGTCCCGCAACAATCCACTCGTTTGTACTTGAATAAATTGTCACATTATATTACTAGTTTGGTAAAGTTACATTACTAATTCCTGTTAATAGGCAAATTGACAAAAAGTGAATGATCTTACAAATTCTGACTTTATATAATAAGTTAATGTTTAAGTAGAAATAAGTGGATTGTTGCGAAATTTATGGGAGGACCTCTGCGGGACGAGCGCAGCGAGTTCCGCAGCCATCTACTTACCAATATACTGTTGAACTGTTCAAGTAAGACATTCACCTGAAACGTGTAGTTTTTAAACTAATGAGAATTACTCACAATTGAGTGAGTCAGGTTAGTATCGTAATCACACAACATATTGATGAATAGATGGCTGCGGAACTCGCTGCGCTCGTCCCGCAGAGGTCCACCTATAAGTTCCGCAACAATCCACACTCGTTTGTACTTGAATAACTGGTCACATTATATAACTAGTTTGGTGAAGTAACATTACTAATTCCTGTTGAAAGGCACATTGACAAAAAGTGGATAATCATACAAATTTTGACTTTATACTGTATGTATAATAAGTTATTGTTCAAGTACAAATAAGTGGATTGTTGCGAAATTTATGGGTGGACCTCTGCGGGACGAGCGCAGCGAGTTCCGCAGCCATCTACTCATCAATATACTGTTGAACTGTTGAAGTAAGACATTCACCTGGAACGTGTAGTTTTTAAACTAATGAGAATAACTCACATTTGAGTGAGTCAGGTTAGTATCGTAATTACACAACATATTGATAAATAGATGGCTGCGGAACTCGCTGCGCTCGTCCCGCAGAGGTCCACCCATAAGTTCCGCAACAGTCCACTCGTTTGTACTTGAATAACTTGTCACATTATATCACTAGCTTGGTAAAGTTACATTACTAATTCCTGTTAATAGGCAAATTGACAAAAAGTGGATAATCTCACAAATTTTGACTTTATATAATAAGTTATTGTTCAAGTACAAATAAGTGGATTGTTGCGAAATTTATGGGTGGACCTCTGCGGGACGAGCGCAGCGAGTTCCGCAGCCATCTACTCACCAATATACTGTTGAACTGTTCAAGTAAGACATTCACCTGAACCGTGTAATTTTTAAACTAATGAGAATAACTCACAATTGAGTGAGTCAGGTTAGTATCGTAATTACAGAACATATTAATGAATAGATGGCTGCGGAACTCGCTGCGCTCGTCCCGCAGAGGTCCACCCATAAGTTCCGCAATAATCCGCTCGTTTGTACCTGAATAACTTGTCACATTATATTACTAGTTTGGTAAAATAACATTACTAATTCTTGTTGAAAGGCGAATTGACAAAAAGCGGATACTCATCATATCATCTGAAGGGCTAATGCTAGGCTGTTCAAATTTTCAGGGATTATTGATGTAGGAATGATATTTAGAAATTCGTATAATGCACCCCCATTATCTACCTGGAACCACTCCAAAAAAAATAAAATTAAAAAAAAGCAACACAAATAAAATAATTTTATTTTTGTTTCAGGTATCTCAACGTCACTAGAACTACTTTTTAATATTAATGTAAAGAACTTTATATTAAGTTGAATCTAGCGCGTTCCAAAGGAAATCTAATCATCTAAGATCTAAAGTTTCTTCAGATTCATCTCTATATAACGCTGATAATAATGTTTACTTGAGGGTGGATTTTGAAGGATTATGATTGATTTATTTACGCTGCTCGTTCTCAGAGTTTAACAAAATATGGTTTTAGTGTACAATAGAGTTAAAACAAAAGGTTAGCTCTATCCATCAATTATGTTCGATAAAAAGTAATGCATCAATGTAAAAATTTTCAAATGTAAATATAAACGAATTTGGAATTAGCTGTAGGCAAATGTAACATGAAATATAGTACATTTCTATAGTTAGACACGATCGTTAAGGGAGAAATAGACGCTTGTATAAATTTTACATATATAAAAAATTAGGTACCTATCTAAGTTAGTACCTACATTATCGAATGTAATACCACAAGAGGTTTCAGGATTACCGGATAATACTTTTACCTGAGTTGAGTGTCAGGTAAAAGTATTAGGTAATCCTGAAACATCGAGTGGTATTCAAAAGGTTATACAACGAACTAAACTTCAATACTTTATCAATCTTTATAATCATTAATGACAAATTGACAATATTGCCACCAAGCGCGATAATCCCAAAAGGCTTATCACTTCTTAAGCCTTTCGTGTCATATGGGAATAATGTACAGTGAGTTGTATAATCAGGGTAATTTTGATGTAGAAAATATTAAGGATATAGTAACAGTAGATAAATAGATATACTTATAGTGAGATAGTATTTTATGTTCGTAGGAGTTTATACAAACTCGTAGTAATAGTAATAAGTAATATTTAAAATTTTATACTTTTTCTCCAATATTTCAGTACCTTTGAATTGTATAGGTACAACCCATTGAAAAAATATATGACCTAAAGATTTATTTTGTTATCATTTTGTTTTAGATAGAATTTTTAGTTCGTTTAATCAGAACTTTGATTAAAGCTTAAATATTTGTCGCATAAATATAAAGGAGGAGAATAATTATTATGTATTTTACGACTGTCTAAATTAAAGATGTATAAATAATGAAATAAAATATTGAGTGTTAGATATATTTTTTGTGTAAATAAACGATATACGCTTATAAACAGTGAATGTTTTATTTTTGCTTGATTTGGGTGAGAATGTCATTACAGCTAATCTTTCCATCTAAAACAAGCCGATTGTAATCACATCAGGTTTGTTTATGAGGCGTGGAAAAACAGTTAGGGCCAATGAAATCGTGGTAAAACCAGATGACAATTGTTTGAAACAAACCTCAAGTGACTGCGATCAGTTTGTTCAGATCGAAAGAATACCTGGGATTATTCTCGCACGCAAAATTGTTGAAGAATGAAGCTCATTCTTCATTCTCCAACGATTTTAGTTTTCAAAGAATACATATTGGTACTTTCAAAATTGTCAAACCTTCTAAAATGATAGAATTCACCTGTCAGTTGGTTGGTAAGTAAGTGTAACCAAGCCGGCTTAGGCAGTGTAAAGGTTAGTGTATGTACTTCGCATGCTGAAGGTATTAAAAGATTTAAAAAGAGTATTGCTTTACAAATGAAATATTGTAATGTAATAATTATCAAGTGTGTACCTACGTGTTTTTTCTTGAAAGGACGAAAAACATGAAATCTTGAAAATCTGTAGATTTGATTAAATAACTTAAATTGTAAACAAACACCAACTGGTAATCCAGCCTTCCTATTGATTGAAACAGCCTACCAGGACGAGTGCGCATGCTCGGAGGACATTTGATAGGTTGAAATGAAAACGGCAGGTTATGCCATTACTGCTGCTCCGCTTGGATTTGGTTCAACTATAGGTATACATTATTTTCCAGTAACTACCTACTTATATCTGTTTTGAGATACATTGTGCTTTATTATAAAAATTCGCAAAAAATCCAATATTTAATGAAATAATTAATATTTTATTTTCAAACGTCCATTGTCATTGAAGTGACTCATATCTTATCAAAATGATCACATAAATTACTGTTATATGATGTTTGAAAATAAATATCTATTAGGTATTTGCCAACTCTCAACAATTTTTATTTAACATTAAAGAAGATTATAAAAATATAATGAACAATTCGACCCATTCGCAAACAACTCAGTTATGATCCATTTTACAAAACGAATTTTTGCTTATAGCCTAAACTATGTCCTCGCGATTAATTATATCCAGACTTGATTCACTGGTGTCCGCAAAATGCTCTTCTGACGACTCAGAACCTGAGCCAACTATAAGAAGCTCCTCTTTGAGCTCCTTATTGTCGCCCCCGTTTTCACTTTCCTTATGAACACTAGACAATTGCCAAGCAGAAATTGAGGGAGGCACATTTGAATTTGTTACTTGTTTTCTGGTTAACAATATTTCTTTTACTGATGCAATATCAAACTTAATCTCTTCCAATTGTGACACCAGCTCATTTTCCGAACTAAAATTTATTCTGCTGACCTCTGTTTTAACTTCTCCCAAGCTACATTGTAAATCCTTGATTGAACCCTCAACGTCCTTTATTTTGTCTCTTATGGATTTTTTCTTAGTACCAAAAAGAAATGGTGCTATATATGAATCATAAATTTTCTTGATCAGATGAGCCACAACACTAAACATAGCAACACTATGAACGATGTCCCTGATTCGATCAAATAAACTAAGTTGCAATCGTCCATATTCCCCTATGATTCTTGGAGGTAATGAAGGTGACATCCCAGAGCAGGATACAGTTTGCATTTCATATGCCTCTGATCTTTCACACGCAACTTTTATCTCATCTTCTGTTAGACCTCTTTTTTGCAAAAATTGTTGTTTGTGACACAAGGGGCTTGATATTACTTTTGGATTCAAGAGGAATTTTACTGCAGTATCAATTAAATCTTCTCTCATAGAGGAACTTTGACCAATGTTTTTTTCACGTTCCTCACCATTATTTGTCTCCATTATCGCACCTCTTTCCATAGACCATTCCTAATAAAGCAGAATATAAAAAAAAATACAGAATTCACAAATGAGATTCACTTTACAAGTGACAGACTCTGATATGTTGGCCACAGCATTTTGACACTTGTCATTCCAGTTTTGCTTTTCAGGTCGGCCACATATTTTCTACTACCCGGATCCGATTGTCAAATATCGGCCCAATAAAAGTCTGATCCGGCTACCGGAAAACGTTCTGTGCATGGTTTATGCATTCTGTTGTTTTTGAGATTTCTGATTCGAAATCGCTTCAGACACTCAGAAAATTCCAACTTCCTGATGAAAAGAATAGTTTCAACTTTCTGATCCTGCTTTTTTACGTACTCCTTCCCATTCGCGAATTCATTATCTTGCCTTACCAGGATTTTCTTGAGTTTGGTTCATTCCTCAGAGCACACGGTTTGAATCCAATCTCGCTGAAATTAAATTTTTTTCTTGAAACAGGATTCTTCTTATTTTTGTTTTGATCTCTGATACCTATTCTTGTTGTAAAAGCGCTGCAAGCCGGTCCTGTTCTTGTTTGGAGTTCCTTTTCTTGTTCTTGAAGTGCTGCAAGTCTTCTCGTCTCCGAGCGTCTTCTTAAACCTTCGGTCCTCCTTTCTGTCTTCGATCTTCTTCTGCTTGTTTTTCTTTTTGTCTCCGGCCTTCCTGGTTTTGTCTCTCTTTGAGCTTCCTCTTCGTGATTCTTGTCTTGGATATTCTTAATGAAACTTCCAGTTGCCACCCCCAGTAGTAGATCTAACATGAAGCAAAGGACGCATTCTGCGTCGGGCCCCCAGAGCTGAGGGGCCCCCACAAAACCGGATTCTAAAGGCATTGATGAAAAAAATTAATAAAATGATGAATATGAAAAAAATCGAAAATTAAATTTTGAAAGTTACGGCAACGTTGTATACGCGGGACTCATGTTTTACTTTTGTGATCTTTTTGTAAGTGGCGGTGGAGAGTACTACATGTTATATTTCTTTTTGTTTGGATAGAAAGTTCCTGAATTTTCACAAATAATAATTTTTTTCGTTCAACTTGTTTTCATATTGTCTCATATGTTCTTACAGTCTAGCAAATTTAATTTTGCCGGCGACGTCTGAGGAGCAAAGAGCAGAAAAATGGCAGACACACATGGTGATTGGTGGGTTGTATCGTGAACCTTGTCAAACTTGTTTTTATAAAGGTAGCAATAATGGATTTGAATCATCTGCAGCCAATCGCTTTATGGATGTACTGTCAAGGAAAGAAGTTGACACACCTGTTGTTTGTTTTTCATTAAGGCACTAGCTGACGTGACACACATAACCTCACTTCCGAAAGGGGAACAAACAACTCAAAAAAATGCTATAAATGTAATTTTAATAAAAAATATAAAATTTTGTAAATCTGGACCTAAAAATAATAATACACAAATTATACTTATAGCGTTTAAGGACTATTACACACATCGGTTAGGCGATAGCTATTACGTTACAAATCACATAACGTCACTTTTGGGGGGATAAACATATCATTGACCAAGGTTCCTAAAGTTAATAGGTTGCCTGGTAATGGATAACTTGATGAGGTATCTGGGGTGCCCTATGAAGATTTGCATTATGTTGAGGCATCCCGGATGACGTCATGAAGTTATTAGACAACCTACCTCTCTCAAACAACCTTGATCATTGACGGCCGTTTCCGCCAACTACATATTTTAGAGAAGCCTTAATTGACCTTTTGTTTCGACGCCATATTGCGGTGCGCGAACATAGTTGCCAACAGTAAAAAAAAAAATTACTAGCGTTCTGTCAACTTTAAAATCCAAAGTTAGTGAATAAATTACATTTAAAATTTAAATTTTCCGCCTATTACGAATGTTTTTGGAAAGAAGAGCCATCAATTTTAGCTTGTATTGGGCAGAATAGAAATAATAAAATATCTAGTTGACAGCCCGCTAGTAATTTTTGGTTTTCTTGTTTTGGCAACTATGTTGGCGCACCGCAATATGGCGTCGAAACAAAAGGTCAATTAGTATTCATTAAAATGACAGTTTTCCTAAGTTTTTCATGGAGTAATGTCAGTTTGTGGAATACTTATCGTTAAGGCTTCCCTAAAATAGTTGATGAAAACGGCCATGAGACAAACAAACGCTTTATTTGTCCCCCCATCGAAAATGAGGTTATGTGTGTGACGTCAGCTATTGCCTTCAACACCACAAGAAAAATACCTAAAAAAAGCATGACAGGGCCCCAAAATTTTTTATGCGTCGGTCCCAAAAGTCCTAGGTCCGCCACTGACCGCTGAAAGGTCATTTAATAAATTAAAAATATTGAAAAATATCTTTCCATTTTGTCTATCAAGCAAAGGACCGCAATCAATGTGGATATTCGGCATTTAGTTGCTCCAGAAAAATTATCCACAGATAATCAAAATTTGAACTATTACCGACTCTTGATTCTATGGAAAACTTTACTAGAGGCAATCAAGAGTCGGTTATAGTCAAAATTTGAATTTTTATCAACTCTGGATTCGCAAGAGACTTTTTCTAAGGGTATTCAAAGCTCAAGAGCCGATGATAATCATAATTTCAAATGATCATCAGCAACTCTTAAGTTGATATTATTCAAAATTTGTTGTTCCGCAGCATTTAATTAGCTCTAAAAGAATTATCCAATGGATCAAGGGCCACCGATGATTAAAATTTGAACTTTTACCGGCTCTTGATTCTTTAGAAAACCTTCTCAGAGCCAATCATGAGCCGGTTATAGTCAAAATTTGAATTTTTATCAACTTTGGATTAGCTAGAGAATTTTTCTAAGGGCATTCAGAGCTCAAGAGCCGAAGATAATCAAAATTTCGAATGATCATCAGCAGCTCTTGAGTTGATATTAATCAACATTTCTTCTTTCGCAGCTTTTAATTGGGTCAAGAAAAATTATCCAATGAATCAAGGCCACAGATAATCAAAATTTGAACTATTACCGGCTCTTGATTCATTGGAAAACCTTCCTAGAGCCAATCAAGAGCCGGTTATAATCAGAATTTGAACTTTTATTTATTTTTTATTGCAATTTTGAAGGGTTCAGATACCGTCCAATCCAAAACTCTTAAAACGAGTTAAACATTAAATCCGAAACTCCTTCGAACTACGTTGAGCACCTTGTTTTAAGCCTATAGGTACTCTTAATCCCTCGTAAATTGGCTACCAGAAATCCTTGGTAAGGCCTATCGATAACTCGCCTGTTAGATGATTCCTTCAAGATTAAACTCGTCTAATATTCTAGTCACCGGACATAAAAGAGTTGATCGAGTAAGTAGGACATATATGTTTAAATTTAAGTGCTATGTGGTATTTGGTAACAAAATGCAGGACGCAGGATAATAAATAATTATATACAGCGCAATAGATATGTATAGTAGGCCTATTCGGGTTTGGAAAAAGGACGGTTCTAGAACGGTTCAAAACAATCGTCCAGTTTATTGATCAACAAAATAACGACTCGACTATCACAAATTTCAATAATAAACTGGGCGATTCTTCTGGACCGTTCTAGAACCGTACTTTTTCCAAACCCGAATAGGCCTAGTATTTCCAAACTCAATTGGAACAAGGTACCAACTGGTGGCTGACTGGTCACTGAAGATTTCCATAAGAAATGCACTGCCACTATTTAGCCACCAGTTATGATTTATGTTCACCTTGTTCCAATTGAGTTTGAAAAAACTATACCTACTTAATTTAAATGGCTTTTTATTAACTTGGGGGTGTTAAGTGATATTCGCTTACGTTTATATTAGGTATTTTCCTCATTTTTATGCTGGGTAACTTATAATGGCATCCTCCAAGGATTATATTAATATGCCTCTCTTTGGTAAATCTAAATTGATAATTTCATTTTAGTGTTACAGTTTATATGAAAAAAAAACAGACACAAAATTAATTTTTAGGTAAACAGGCCACTTTAATCCTGTACATCGGTACTCATTTGCGCCAGTTTTCGTTCAAACACCGAATAACGCGCTTCACTGTGGAGATTAAATAATATCGCCCCGAGATTTTCTAATACGAATTCTCCACAATCTATTTAGTTCATATATCAGTTGGTTTTTTACATTTTATCGTATAAACAAAAGGGCGTCAATACATTTTTTTTGAAGATCATTGATGTATTATCGAATAATTTTGGAGCTGATCTTAGTAGTACCTGGTTAATTATTAATGATTTTGTTGATTTGAAATTAACTAAAGGTAAGTTTGATTTGTTTAACTTTTCTGCACCTTGTATTACAAAAAAATTTTGTAGATATTTTATTGAATTTCACCCACTATTCACAATGATATTAATAGTAAAATCAATAAGAATTAGTTTCAATAGGTGAACAAACATACGATGTATTTCACAGGCCAAAGTAATTTAGGATCCAAAAAAAAATATAACAAGTTAACAAACACATTTTAACAGAAGAGCCAGGCGGAAGACTTAGGAACTTTCAAAATCAAATTTCTTTTGTTAGACAGACTACTTTCCTTAATATCTTTTGACGCATAATCAGACTGCTCTTGCAACTTTCCATCTGAATATCAATATCAGAATCAAAGTCCAGATTTTGGTCTTCAAGCTTTGAATAATTATTGATTGATTGATTGCAGCTTTCATTCAGTTTTCTATGTAATTTTACATTCGACAGTACTTGCAATACATTTTTTGACGATCTCGCATGCATTAATGCAACGCAGGATCTATTTTTAGAGCACTTTTTCATTTTTATCCACCTCATCACATCATTTGTATTTTTTTTATCCCTATTTGGTGCAATTTTGTAATGCCTGCGCCAATTTATCTATTTGCTCATTTCAACTGTATGAAATTCTTCACTTGAATTGCATTTGCGTTGATTTATTTATAAATCGTTTATACACGCAATGTATTGCTTTGTTATTATCCAGTTGGCAACTGAATGTCAGCAAATGTGTTTTATAGTTCGCGGAAATGTATTAGTTTTTCTATTTTGGATAATGGATAGGTATACCTACAACCTCAAAATATAATTTCGCGAAAAAGTGCATGCCACATGAAGTCACACGTCACATCATGATGAATCAAAACCCATTTTTATTCCAATCTAAAAATCACATAAATTTTGCACTTGCATCTATGCGAAGAAATGTGAATTTTTTCTGGAAAAAATAATAAATATCCGGCCTTGGTACTGTTTAGCTATAAAACGTCTACCTTATCTTTTTTTCCCAACTAATAATCCAGGAAGCTTTAATCTGATATTTTTTCTCTGATTAATTATTTACGCCACATTCGCCATAAATAATAGCAATTAATCTCTGTTGGTGCGATAAACAGTGAAAACTATTGCACATGTTTCTGATGAAAACGCGTTAAACCGAGTGGCAATTTTGATGGATAAAGGAGACGAAATGGAGTTTATCCATGGGGCGTTAAATTCTAGTAATGTAGGCGACGAGTAAATGGAAATCGTGCACCTTGATAATAGTATATTATGATATAAGTGTATAAGAGGGCCTTTAAAGCACGACGCGAAGCGGAGTGTTTTGTAAGTCGCAAGTAAGAAGACAGTCAGTGCTGTCTTGAAATTAATAAAATAATGGATGCACGTCATCAAAATGTATGTCTTTAGCATGACGCATTGACCGTTTGCGCCGACCGTTTTAAGGAAGCCTTAAGGTACGGTTTGTTAGGATAGTACGCAACGCACAACTGACAACGTAAACGTCGTCACAGAACATATCACCTATAGAAAAATATCTCAAATGGGAGAATCGCGACGAAGGTTTTTAGTTAGGTTTTCAATCAACGATCGGCACAGATTACTTAAGAAACTAGAAAAAATTGGAATTGGGGATGTGGTGTTGAGATGGTTTGGAGACTATCTAATATCAAGAAGACAATTAACTAGACTGAATGGAATTAGTTCAATAGAGATAGTTAACGAGCATGGTGTACCGCAGGGAAGTGTTTTGGGTCCACTATTGTTCATTATTTATATAAACGATCTGCCAGATGTAATACATGACATTGAATTGCATAACTTCGCCGATGATAGTCTATTCTACGCCTTTTCAAAAGATTTGGATTTGTTGGTGGAAACTGTTAATAATGCCCTAAATAAAATGGACAATTATGCATCAACGAATCTTTTGAAGATTAATGTTAGTAAAACTAAATTTATGTTTATTGGTACACATAATAACAGAAGTCTTTTTAATATGAACAACTATTCAATTGAAATGGGTAACAATAAGTTGGAAGAAGTTCAAAAGATTAAGTATCTTGGGGTAATTCTTGATAACAAATTAAAATTTAAAGATCACTGCAACATTCTGGTTTCTAAAATTAGTTTTAAGACAAATTATCTTAGGCGCTGTTCAGTATCTCTCTCAGCTTGGTCTAGAATTGTTGTTTTTAACACTATAGTTTTGCCACACTTCAATTATTGCGCAACAATACTTTATTTACTTAACCAGAATGATATCCAAAGACTGCAAAAGTTGCAAAATAGATGTATGAGAATCATACTCTCATGTAACAAATATACTCCTATAAAAAGTATGCTTAGATTGCTTCAGTGGCTTCCAGTTGTGGAATATGCAAAATATAATGTACTGGTGTTTATTTTAAAAATTAAAATTGGACTTGCTCCATTGTATCTTACAAGAAAAATAGTTTACAGTGGCCAGATGCATGATCACAACACTAGACAACAGAACAACTTCTATATACCACATAGATGTGGGGTATCAGCAACAAGATCGGTATTCTTTAAGGGTATGAATGAGTTTAATCAGCTACCGGATGAAATAAAGTCATGTGTTACTATTAGCAATTTCAAAAGAAAATTAAAAGTTCATCTGCTGACTCAATGTGATATATATGTTCCAGATTAAAGCACAAATGAGTAGCTTATTCTTGTTGATCTGAGTTTTGTTGATTTGAATTTCTTTTGTTTTGCGGTATCTTGATCTTGTATTTTGTGAAGTGAAAAACGAATGCCATATTTTGTATGAGTTTCAGGACTTGCTTTTTACGAAATTTCAAGTTTTATTATGCCTTTCGGAATGATTGTCATTTGTATTTTGAATTTAAATTACATTTTGTCTTTCATGTTGTTTCGGTTTGTCTCCTTTAATGTTTCTTTTCATAGTTCTGAATTGTTCGTTGTTTTTTTTTTTTTTTTAAATTGTTTACTTTAATTGACACTATACACTAATTATAACTTTTGTGAATTTATATATGTAAGTTGCACGATTAGCTATTGCTAAATAAACGAAATAAATAAAAAAAAACACTGTCGGGCGATAAGAGAAATTTACAGGTATCTGTGGTGTGGACAGTGATTTGTGTTGGTTGGTTTTGTTATTTATTTTGTCATTTCAAAAGTCAAAATTTGAATTTTTAAATTGTGTTGTTGTACCCCACGGTCCCCACGCGCGTTAAAGTGAAAATTCAAAAAGTTTTGGTTGAAAAAAACCCTAATTTTTGTTCGTATTTTTTGTATTTGTTCGTTTGTTTCGTTTCGTTCGTATTTGTATTTATTATTCGTATTTACTTTGCGATCTACCTATAGCTGCGTGTCGCTTGCTAACTTACTAACTCTCTTTGCACTATGTTCGACATTGGAAACTTCCTGCCAGTCATAGTTTTCAAGAAAATGAGGCGAAAAGAGCTAAAAGGAGTCAGCAAGCCAAATGCAGTTGAGCATTAAAAATTATTTAAAAATATTAAAAATATAGGGAAAAAATAGATTCGCCTTTTTGTCAAGAATGCTCAATTATTAGAAATATTTTTTCAGGTAATGACCAACGTGAATACAGGAACACTACGGCCCTGTTTGGGAATCGGCCCACTGAGCAGTGGACTCAGGCTTCCCGTGCCAATCCTTGACGCGTTTCGTCCTTGTTAGGACTCATCAGAAGGACATAGGAAGGACAGGGAGCTTCAGCCTATGTCCTTCTGATGAGTCCTAACAAGGACGAAACGCGTCAAGGATTGGCACGGGAAGCCTGAGTCCACTGCTCAGTGGGCCGATTCCCAAACAGGGCCGTAGTGTTCCTGTATTCACGTTGGTCATTACCTGAAAAAATATTTCTAACAATTTCCATTGCCAACGAAAGCTCAGACCAATCAGTGTAGTTCAACGCCGGTAGGGGTATTTGCCCTCGGAGTAGTTGTTTCTGACTGGTCAACGAAGTTCAATTTTGCTTGGACAGGGAGCTTCAGCCTATGTCCTTCTGATGAGTCCTAACAAGGACGAAACGCGTCAAGGATTGGCACGGGAAGCCTGAGTCCACTGCTCAGTGGGCCGATTCCCAAACAGGGCCGTAGTGTTCCTGTATTCACGTTGGTCATTACCTGAAAAAATATTTCTAACAATTTCCATTGCCAACGAAAGCTCAGACCAATCAGTGTAGTTCAACGCCGGTAGGGGTATTTGCCCTCGGAGTAGTTGTTTCTGACTGGTCAACGAAGTTCAATGCTCAATTAGTTGGGTTTTCATTCAACGATGGCGCTGTAATTCATAACCGGTACATACCATTGCAGATACTTTTCTAGAGGTGATATGTTCTGTGAACGTCGTCATTGGTTCAGGTATGACGTATACCCGTCTTCTGACGTGAGAAAACGGCTGTACGTCATACCTATGGTCATACCTGAACCAATGACGACGTTTACGTTGTCAGTTGTGCGACGCGTATTCTCCTAACAAACCGTACCTTTAAGGTACGGTTTGTTAGGATCAATGAACTATAACCAAAAACTGGAATGCGAACACATCCCACATAACAGTGAAAGAACATTCATATTCTCAGAATATTCCCTCAAAGTGCTTTTTGGAATGTTCTTTTAGGAATGTTTAATGAATATCCTAAGAATGTTTCGATTGAAATATTCATTTTTGAACGTTCTATTTATGTACTAGGAATGTTGCTTCTATGCACCTACCTGAAAGATTGTGCTAAGAACCTACTTTATATAACATTATTTGAATACTGTCATACGAACATTATTATAATGTACCCTAAAAAATGTTCTTTCGGATAATATCTCTATCAAGTATTAAGAATATACCTACCAAGTTGTGCTGAAAAGTTTATGTAGGTAGGTAATCATGATAAGAATATTTTCATATTGTTCACCTAATTATCTAAAGTACCTACTCAAAAATCTTAATTGAACAATTAAACAATAATGCTCTATCTAGAACCTACTAAGAATA